GGTGAATAAAATCAAATAAAATATCTTAAGAGAGAAATTCATATAACTTTTACTACAATATACTTTATAATTGTTCTATTTAATTACTCTTGTTAATCTCTTACTGTTGCCTAATTTATAAATTAAACTTTATCGTAGGTACCGTATATACGAAAATGGAGTCTACATATGGTTCAGTACTATTCATTGTTAGTAACAACCCGCTGTTAGTAACAACGGATTGATACTAACAATTGACTGGGTTTCTTGAAACTTATCTCCTGAGAATAGGCGGGAATACTGTTTATAAACCAGAGAATCAAAAACATTTGTATACCCAAGAACTGGTATCCATAGAAGCATTGCTCATAAGAGCCAGAAAGTGGAAACAACTTAAATGCTCATTAACTGATAAACAGATAAGCAAAATATGGTTTATCCATACAATGGAGTATTAATTATAGGAAAGTGGAAACAATTCTAATGCTCATTCACTGATAAACAGATAAGCAAAAAATGGTTTATCCATACAATGGAGTATAATTTAATAATAAAAAGCCGTGAAGTACTGACATATACTACAATATGGACAAACCTTGAAAACATCACAATAAATGACAAGTCAATGTAAAATATCTCCTTTTAGGTAAATTGCATGATTGTATTTATATGAAATGTTCAGGATACAGCCCAGCCTCTGCAAGTCAGACTGCAGTACTGGAAGCTGTATGTCTAAAAGCACAGTTTGGATGCCCAGTCTGGTCAGCTTATAAACATGGGGCACATGGATGGGCATGTCCAGGAAACTGGGGGCTGGAGGCCTAGAGAATGAGGATCACCGCGTGATCAGACCCTGTTGGGTGTACTTATCTCCCTCTCACACATCTTTCTATGGGGAATTTAAAAAATTCTTTTTTTTTCAGAATAGTCATGTGCATAGAGACAGATAGTAGATTAGTAGTTGCCAGGGAATTCGGAGAGGTGAAACTAGGGAATGTATACTAATGGACACATGCTTCTTTTGGAGTGATAGATGTGTTCTGGAGCTCGATAAGGGGTGAGCATTGCACAGTTTTGAATATACTAATAGTCACTGAATTGTAGTCTTTAAAAGGGTTGATTTTATGTTATGGAAATTATATATCACAATTTTAAAATCTATCCTGAAAAGATAAAGCATGCTATATTAAAATATCAAAGAATGATATAAAAATGATATAGGATTTGTACAGACATCAGTGAATTTTTCACTAGATTTGCAGCAGTTATACTATGAATTCTCAAACATATCTTCCTATAAACTACTGGTAAGCCCCATCTTTTTCACTGTGTACCTATGATCATAAGAGGTTTTTATATTTATCCACAGTAAATATATGCAATCTTCCAGTCAATTATCCTAACCCTACTGAAATTGTTTTTATTTTACTTTTCTTACCTAATATGTCTGGCAATTCTTCTATTAGTTTTTTTTTTTTTTTTTTTTTTTTGTGATATTCTTGCTATAGGGCACGTGCATTCACCAGAAAGACAAAAATCAAGACAAAAATCCCCCCCCTCCAGGGGGATGGCCATCCCACAATTCCTTTTCCTCCAAAATCCTTCTCTAGGGATTTTGGACATGCATACATATGTGTCCGGCTTGAATTTCAAGCTGCCAGGTCTGGGACTTGAACCATGGTCAACCATGTAGGAGTCTAGTACTTTAACCACTACACCACCTGCTGGCCCCTATTAGTCTTAACTATAGGTATTTTGGTGATGTCTATTCCAATTATGCTATCTGATTATACTCAGAAGCATAATATTGTTCCTATAATTGCAGTTTTATCATCCAACTCCATTTATTAGACTAATTTTCCCAAAAGATGGTAAAAATAAACACTTTTTTTTCTAGTTCATATTCTCTTGCTTTTGGTTTGGAAAATACACTTGCCACCACAAAAGAGAATTTAATAAGTAATGTGATAAGAATTTTCCCTATTAGAATTGCAAATAATTTTGTCATAGTAACTGTGGAATTTGTGATTATCTTAAAACCATTCAAAATCACACAGGAAGAGGGACAAGAGAAGGAAGTCTGTGAACATAATGAGTTCATATATGGGTTGAGGTAGGAGGATTTATAATGAAAAAAATTAAGGGAAAGATGCTAAATGTGATGACCCAGGTTCAAGTTCTACGTCTGTACATCTCATGTGTGACCTTGAACACATTGGTTCACCTTCAGGAGGCTTAGGTTTCTTGTCTGTGACTTAAGAAAGTCCTTGGTGAAAGTAAACCCAAAAGATAAATGCCTAGTAATGACTATAAATGATGAATTTTACTAAGCAGATAGTCCCAGAGATAGCCTTACTACAGGTTTAGGAGGTATCTGCCTAATAGATGTTCCCTAAGGAATGTGAAAAACATGCCAGCAAATGCTACGTGAAGTAAGACAAACTATGAAAGACAAACACTGTATATCACCACCCACTATATCCTGAATGTCTGCACTCTATGGCAGATACTGAAAGATCTACAGATATAATAGTAGGGAAGACAGTGTAAATGCCACAGACTATGTGGGGGACAGGTAGATAGTTGGGAGGAGGGCTCAGGAAAAATACATTTAATAGACATAGGAGTATAAGGTTTTCCATTGAAAATTATGTATATAATGAGGCCAGCAAGTGGTGTAGTGGTTACTTTTCTCAACTCCCACATGGCTACTACAGTTTGAGTCCTGGAATCCATGGCTTGAAAATCACGTTGTGTGTGTGTGTATTATGCGTGCACGTGCGTGCACACATGCACATGCACACCCAGGATCCCAGGAAAAGAATAAATAAAAAAGGATTGTGGTGTGGTCATCCTTCCTGGGGGGTGATCTCTCCCTTTCCCTCTCACTGTCTCTGTCTCTCTCTCTGGCAATTGCATAAGCCCTAAGGCAAACACTTCTAAAAATAGGTATGTAGTAATATCCTTGATTTGATTATCATGTACCGCATGCATACTTTGAAAAGCCATATTGTGTGCTATAGGAATATACAAATATTAAATGCAAATTTATAAGAAATCATAAAATAAAATTTTTTAAAGCATTTCAAAATTTTTCCTGAAATATCCAGGATTTTTACAACTTTGTAAAGGCCATTTAACTAGATTGAAGTAGTATGCGAACTCACTGCAATGTAAAAGCAAACAGAACAGTCAGAGATTAGGCTAGGTGTAGACAGTGCTCTTTCAGGTTGTGAACCGCAGCTATGAAAGTGTCAAGACAGCAGGATCTGTTTAGTTCCCTGGTGGGTGTGACAAATACTTAGAGCAACAAGGCTGTGTACAGAATGGAACAAGTTCAGGTAGAGGCCTCTCTCCTACAGTTTAAACCTTCAAAAACTCTCAGGAAAAAAACATAAATATGAAAAGTAGGTAACCAATAAACTTGAACCAACAGATCTAGCACATGCTACCAAGAAGGTACCCTGGGAGAAAGAGGAGGTAAACAAGAAAAGAGACTCACTATTGACAATTCCCCAGTCTCCCACAGTGAGGTCCTAGCCTAGCACCCAACACAGGCTCAGCGATGAGCAGCAAATACTGAGCAGAACTGGCTGCAAACAATTGGTTTCAAAAGCATCTTGTCACTAACAACCTGATACACTACACAAGGTGGAATTTCATGGCAGTTTTGGGGGATATTTAACGAAAATCACCAGTATTTCTGAAATGGCTGTGTTTATTGATTCATTGGGGAAGAGTAGGTTCACCAGATATGCATACCATAAAGAAATGATCTTGGGCCAGTTGGTGGCTAAGGCAGCTAGATTTCACGTGGCAGACTGCATGGTTTGAATCCTGGAACTGGAGGTTTACAAAACATGCTAGGTGCACGTGTGGGTGCACAAAATCTCAAAAAGGAGAAAGGAAGAGAAGGGATTGCAACATGACCATCCTCTGTGAGTGGTGCTTTCTCATTCTCTCTTTGTCTCTCCAGCAAGCTCATGTGCCCTTAAGCAAAAAAGGAAAAAAAAAAAAAAGAAAAGAAAAGAAATGACCTTACCGTTTTTTCTACAGTGTCTGTATTGTGCTGCTTGCCATTATTTTTGTTATGGGAGTATTGTCACAAACTAGTGCCTTAAAACAATAAAAATTTAGAGAGTCAGCAGGTGGTGCGGTGGTTAAGGGTGCTTGGACTCCCACATGGCCAACTGTGGTTTGAGCCCCGGACCTGGTGGCTTGCTTTCTCACTTTCCTTCTCTCTCTCTCTCTCTCTCTCTCTCTCTCTCTCACTCTGCCCCTCTCTGGTCAAATTAAAATAAATAAATTAAGTTCAATAAAATAATTCTTAAAAAAATACAAATCTTAGAGTTCTGGAGATTGGAAATCCAAAATGAGACCTACTGAGCCAAAATCAAGATGGCAGCAGAGTTTCATTTCTTTTGGAAGCTCTCTTTCTTCTTTTTGGTTTCTAGGAGCACCTGCATTCCTAGGCTCAAGGACCCATCCTTCCTTTTGCCTCTCTCTCTAAGACCCTTGTGACTATATTGGGCCCATCTTCAGATCCAGAACCATCTTGCTATCTTGAAGTCTTTAACTTAGTCACATCTACAGAGATCCTTTTGCTGAGTAACAGAACACATTCATAGGTTCCATTGTTTAACAAATGGACAGCTCTGCGGTCTCTTATTCTACTTCCTACAGTCATATAGTCAAACAGCAGTCTTGGGGAACCAGCAGTTAGCGTAATGGCTGTCGCTGGACTCCCACGTAGTCGACTGCGGTTCGCGTCCTGGACCCGGTGGCTTAAAACTCACGCTGGGCGCGTGTGCGTGCGTGCCCAAGATCCCGAGAGGAGAATGGAGGAGAAGGGATTGCGGTGTGACCATCCCCCCTGGGGGGTGATTTCTCACTTTCTGTCTCTAATGTCTCTCTCTGTCTGTCTGGCGAGCGCACGCGCCCTATAGTAAAAATCTCTCTGAAAAAAACAAAACAAAACAAAACAAAAAAAAACAAAAAAAACCCAGCAGTCCTACAATTACCAATTTGTGAAAGTGCACAGGGCTTCAGTGAGAATCCAGACACCACATTATCCAGAACCTTGATGCTGGTCGGTGTTCCTCCTGAGCTGCGCTTTAACAGGCAGTTGTTCCTGAATGTGAAGAAAAGAGATTACTTTGCTTCCTAAACGATGAGGTGCATCAGCAAGCCAGGTACGACCCTGACAATGAGTGTGTTAGGGATGGCATTCATCAAGCAGATATTCTTCCTCTGTGCCAGGGAAGGTTAGGATGAGGGGGGCATTATCCAGACATTAAACCCTCATTCTATAGGCACAACCTATAGGTGGACCAAGTAAAATTTACACTGTTCAAGAAAAACGACCCTAAAAATGAGTAAGTATATACAAAGTTTATGCCTAAAAGTCTTGTTTGGTTTTCAGTTGTAAAAAAAAAAGGTTATGAAGAATACAGCTAAATAAGCACCATCTGAAAGCACCACTCTGCATAACAGACTCTATGAATTTTACTCACCGGAACTCCGCTTTGTAAAATGTTTGCGTGGCATATGTGAAAAATTGGCAGTGGATATCATTGGTACACCATTTTTGGCATTCTTCAACACTGTTAACCTTGGACATATTAAAATTGGCTCCTCTCATGTCAATTCCTTTATAGAGGTCTCGGTGACAAGCTGTACAAATAAAGTGCATAAAGCAATTTTAGTCAATTTCCTTCCTAGAAGTAGATCGACTATCATTGTGGCAGGATAGTTTTGAAGAATAAAATCCTGCTAGGGGCAACTTCCCTGTTAATGAGAGAATTTAGATTTTTTTTATTTTGTGCCTAAATTAGCTAACTCCACTTAAAATGAACACAATCACGTGTTTTTTCTCCCTAGAGCACTAGCATTGAAAAGGTATTACTTTGCGTGCAGCAATGCAGATAACTTTGCACTTTGTTGAAATTGTCACTGGGCAGAAAAATAAACAAAGCTATGCTAATGAGGACTGAATGATGTGTTCTAGGGGGTTGTGCTTTTAAACAAACTGATGGGCCTGTGCCCTCTTACATTGAATGAAGGAGCTTCTCTAACTTTCTGTATTACTTCTCTGCATTCAACTACTCATGTCTGATTAAGAATTGCATCTGTAAGCCCTGGCATTGATATCTGTGTCAAATAATTACAAAATGCTCTTGCACATGCATGATTAAATCATTTCCATTCTGTATTAAATTTTTAAAATTCAATTTAAGCACCCTTTTAATTTAAATTCATCTTACATGTCAAAAAATATATAGAAAATTATTTTAATAGACAGTGAACCAAATCAGGCTCTTTTGTTGTTTAGATTCAGACTTATTAGTTAAACAAGCCATCTAACCAGCACTATAAACCTCAATCTTCTGTATGTAGTTTTCCACTTTTAAGAGAATAAAAAAACAACCAAGAACAACAGTAACAAAGTAGAGCTGAAGAAAGGAATCCCTTTTACCATAGCCACAAAATGTGTAAGATACCTAGGGATAAATCTAAGGGAGTCAAAGACCTTTACAAAGAAAACCATGGAAAAACCTTTAAAAAGATACTGAAAATTACATAAAAAAGTGGAAGGACATCCCATATTCGGGGATTGAAAGAATGAACATAATCAAAATGGCAATTCTATCCAAATTAATCTACATATTTAATGTAATTCCAATCAAAATACCAGAGACATTCTTCACAGATCTAGAAAAGACAATCATAGAATTTGTCTGGATTCATAAAAGACCTTGTATTGCCGAAGCAGTCCTACGTAAGAAGAGTGGAGTGGGTGGCATATCACTCCCTGACCCTAAGATATATTATAAAGTTGTGATAATCAAAATAGCATGGTATTGTCACAAAAACAGACAGGTGGACCAATGGAATAGAATAGAGACCCCAGAAATGAACCCCAAAACTTACAGCCAAAACACTTCCCCCCTCTTATCTTTCTGAGTGCTCCCTTCCAAAAGTCCATGGCAGTACAGACTTTAAGCAAAAGCTGTTCTAAGGTAGTTCCATCATTAACTCAAATTTAGCTAAGAAATCCCATCTTACCACTTATTCGATGGCCACATTGTTTTAAGGAATGTCCAGAAATGGCATTTGTTCGATGCACTCTCAGTAGGGTTCCTGTGACACTGTCTTTCAAGAAGCAACCAAACCTGTTTTGAAAGTAGTCACATTTAGGAAGTATAAACATACATTAAGGAATTTTCTAGCGTTTTCTATACACTAGTAAATAATGCCAGGAATAAGGAAAATAATTCTTCTTCCCTGACACTTGCTAGAAACAACATTTTTAGAGGTAGTTCTGTAATATCTAATGATCTGTTCTGTCATATCTAACTTCAGCATTTTCTTAACCTTAAATTTATTTTAAGTACAAAACTCAACTACAGTAAAAAGCTCATTATTCTTCCAGTGTTCTTAAATTTTTAGAGAACTATCTTCCCAAGTGGTAATTATTTTTGTAAAAACTTTTATAACGTTGACTTAAAAAATTGAATAATTCCTGGGACCAGCAGATGGCATAATAGCTATGTCACTGGACTCCCATGTAGTCGACTGCAGTTCGAGTCCCAGACCTGGAGACTTAAAGTCATGCCGGGTGCATGTGCATGTGTGCCCAAGATCCCGAGAGGAGAATGGAGGAGAAGGGATTGCAGTGTGGCCATCCTCCCTGGGGGGTGATTTCTTGCTTTCTGTCTCTCTGTCTCTCTCTGTCTTTCTGGTGAGTGCACGCGCCCCACAGGAAAAAAATTTAAAAAAAAAAAAAAACTCTCAAAAAAAATTGAATCATTCCTAAAAGCTGGATCTGTATAGATGTTCATCTTGCTTATTAACTCTTTGTAGTCTACAGTTAGTGGAAGTTTTTTCTTTCTAGTTTTAATGCCAACCTTAATGGTTAATTTCAACATATACAAGAATTCAAAATCGAACTCAATTTTAAATGCGGCAACTCCAGATATAGTGCAGGTTTTCTGCATTTAACATTTAGGGTCAGAGAATAATTATCTAACTCTTAGTTCTTAAGCTCAAAAAATAGTGAGGATAAGAAAAAAGGTTATGGACATGAAATTGGCAACAACAACAAAAAGTTCCTTCTGGATTTGTCAAAGTGAAAAAAATAAACTCAGCTGACACTATTGCCAAGTATAATGAACATCTTGATGATCTAACAAGATTTTAAATTACCAACTATTTTCCAATACTCTTATTCCTGACTTCCAGTTAATAAGACATATTCACAAATACGCATGTGCACACGCACACACCATTCAACATGGATGCCCACACTGGCTCACAATAGGTATCATTCAAGCCTGCCTTGCCCTTTCCAAGATCCTAAGTTTAGATCTTACTCTTTTATGTTCTCAACAAAATGCTTGTCTGATACTACATTTTCTTAGGACTGCGTCATCCACAACTGTGAGAATGGGTCAATTAAGTATGTTTTCTTATTCAAGTGACAGGTTCATTTGTTATTGTACCCTCTGTTAAGACAGTCTCTTATTGTGCTCATTTTTAAGCATTTTTCTTGAGTCCTTAGATAAAAAATGACTAGCTTCCACGACTTTGATGAATGCAATGATTGACTGAAATGCAGATGTGTAGGTCCAGACACTTTGGCTCAGCAGGTTGGGCTATAGCCTGAATCTGTTCTTATTTCTTTTTTTTAAGAGATATTTTTGCTATAGACCATGTACTCTCACCGGAGAAACAGAGAGAGAGACAGAAAGTGAGAAATCATCCCCCTGCCTGGGGATAGCCACACCACAATCCCTTCTTCTCTATTCTCTTCTTGGGATTTTGGACATGCATGCACATGTGCCTGGCATGAGTTTTAAGCTACTGGGTCCAGGACTCGAACCATGGTCATCGCCATCTGCTGGTCCTCTGAGTCTGTTCTTACAAACTACTCCAGATGAATTTGATGAAGGTGGTCCTGATCCCCATTTGAGAAATGACCCTGAAATAGGCTACATTTTTGTGTGCACAAATGGCTCCATTTGGGGAAAATGAGTGGCTCCTTCCATAATGAAATACCAACTTTTACCTTTTCTCTGAGTCATTAGTTGAACTTGCTGGAAGAAAACTGAAGAGCAAACACCTGGGGTGGAATGTGCACATCATCTGGCAGTGCTGGGCATTGGGGGTATACATGGCAGTGACATCTCCACCTCTGAAGAAGGTATTCTTATAGAATTGAGTCAGACATCCTGTGATACAATCAGTAAAATTAGTTAATTAGAAATGAATGCAAATAATCCTTTTAAGAGACATACATCTGTGTTACTGCAAAGATCTTTAAGACATGACTTTAATTATGGGGACAGAGTTAAATATATCATGGCTGTTATTTGAATAATATATTGATATAGTGTTACTTAGTCATTTTCTGGGTATTTCTGTATAAAATGTGCTTGATTTTTATTAAGTCATATAATAATTTGCACATAAATTATCCCCAACAAAGTATAATCCTATATTGGTTTCTTCCTGTTGCCTAACTAACATGCTATGAAAATAATATGCCTTAAAAAATAGCAAATTTGATCGTTTTTCAAAACTCTTAATAAAAATCTCTATGAGATTCTCACAAATATGAAAGAACAGACAGAGGCAGGCTCTGCTATCTGCATCTCACTTGTTTCTTTCTTTTCTTTTTTTTTTAAGAAAAAAGTTAAGTAACTAAGTCCAGGGTGAACAGATTTGCCCAAGATCCATATGGACAATGAATGGCCTGGTACATAAAGCAGTCTTGTAAACTGCAGATGGCATAATGGTTACATGGACTCCCACATGGCCAATCGCATTTGAGTCCCAGTCCCAGACATGACCAATCGCATGTGAGTCCCACGCCAAGTGCATGTGCATGTGTGCCCAAAGTCCTGAGGGAAGAATGGAGGAGAAGGGATTATAGCATGGCCATCCCACCTAGAAGGTGATTTCTTGCTTTCTCTCTCTCTGTCTCTCTCTGTTCTCTCTGGTGAGCACTATAGCAATATATGTGTATATATATAAATAAATAAAAATAAAAATAAACCTAGTATTTTTCTCATTCATGTCCCCTTTTCTAGCAAGCAATGTTAAATGCTTCCTCTTCTCAGTTTAATTCAAGCAAACGAACGCTCCACCACTGTTTTCTGAGTGTAAGAACTAGGAATTGAATAATTATTCTCTTATCCTAAATGTTAAACTTGTATAATTGAATATTTATTTTTCACTAGGACTTTATATAGTTAGTTTAAAGGCTAAATTGAAAAAAGAGTTTGTTCGCTGTTTGGCATTAATCCCAACTCTAAAGTACTCTGTACTCCACATGTTATTAAATAATTAAGTTCCTTACTGACTCTAATGCATGAACTTGAATTTGCTTTGAAAGACTCATTTCAAAGTCTGCTTACTAAGCTTTCCAGCTTAGGCAGCACATTTGTTTTAGTCAATCAGCCATGAGACAAACCAATGATAACGTTGTGCATCTCTTAGGGCAGTAGTCACTCTTCAGTTGAAATAGCATCTATTTTTGTATTAACTTGCAAGAAATGGGCAGCTTAAACAATATGCACCAGAAGATTTCAAAAAGTTTGTGGAAAATGGAATTAAATTACATTAAAAATGAAATTATTTCTGTACAAAAAAAAAGCCAAGCAAAGCTTTTTCATAACACACATTTCCCATAAACTTTGTGAAGGTCTATAGTATTTTGGTAACTATGAAGATGAGCATTTTTCCTTGCACTATACTGCTGCTTTGGGGATTCTTGCCTGATCTCCCTTATGACCAGCCAGCCCCACTGGGGATTTCTTCTCTTCCTCTCAAAGTTGTGGCTGAGATGATTATCTCTTAAGTAAGGTTTATACTTGGAAGCAGCACAGATATCTTTAGGTAAAAGCTTCTGGGAATACAGGTTCCCAAGTGGCTATGCCAAGATTTCATGTAAACACTGAGTAGTTGGTCCAGTGACAATGCTCCATAAAGACTTCTAGTGTTTGGGCTGACTCCCAGTCACCAAGTAGTCATCCACCCCATCCCAAAGCACATACAAGGGTACCAACAACGGCCACTGCTGGCCTGGTAGTTCCCGTTCTGCACTGAGCCTTTGTGAACCGCCATGGGACTCAGCCAATGGAAGGGAGTGACTAGAATATACTGGCTTTTACAGCTGAATGAAAAGAAAGTTCTAGTCGGCATTTCTGCTAACCCTAAGTCGGAAATAAAGATGGTGACAACAATGAGGATGTTGTTACCCTTATTTGTTAGAGTATATGGAAAGCACATTTTGTAAGTTATCTCATAATGATCATGGCTTTCACATGGACCCCGTGTGAAAGGGTTTTCTGTTTTGTTAAAAACATTAAACAGGAGGGGCAGCAGGTGGCATAGCTGTTAAGGAATTGGACTCCTAGTTGAATGACTATGGTTCAAGTCCTGGACCTGGTCTAAAAATCATGTCAGGCACATGTATGTACACGCCCAAAATTTCAGGAGGAGAATGGAGAAGAGATTGCAACATGGCCATCTTCTTGGGGAGACTTCTCACCCCTGTGTGTGTGCTACGTCTCTTTGCCTGGTGAGAGCACACACCCTATGGCAAACACATTTTAAAAATTATATAAGGCTTACCCTGTAGCCTAGTGGTTGAGGAATCCAGATTGTATATGGCCAACTGTGCTTTGAGTTCCTGCCTGGTGGCTTAAAAAACATGCCAGGTGCATGCACATGCATGCTCAAAATTGGGATGAAGAAATGGAACAGAAGGGATTGTAGTGTGACCATCCCATTTTCCCTAAAGGAAGCACCTCTCTCTCTCTGTGGCAAGCATATGCATCCTCTGGCAATTAAAAAAATTACACAGGGACCAGCAGGTGGCATGGTGGTTAAGGTATTGTACTCCCACATGGCCAACCACAATTCGAGTCAGCTTGCTTTCTCACTTTCCCTCTCTTTCTCTCTGTCTCTCTCTGGTGAGTGCACATGCCCTATAGCAAATTTAAATGAATAATTAAAATAACCAATTAGAAAATAATAAAATATAAAAATTATATAATCAATAAGGAGGAGAAAAATACTCCTAAAAATGAAGTAATGATATAAAAAGATAACTTAGAAAAGAAATACTCATGCTTAAAATATATGGAAAATGGTAAAAATCACAAATACAGGCAGATTAAAACAATTAGAGGTCATTTTACTCACAAGAATACCGAAAATGTACTAACTAGCATTCATGTTCTGATTTTTGCTGCAAATAATAGAAGACCTTGTTCCAGGTGACCTGAGTCAGAACGAAATTTAGTAGTTCAGAAACTAAAAAGCCCCTAGTGAATCTGGCTACAAAAATAACTGCTCATCCGGCTCAATTGATAGCATCTGTAACAATTTGTCTCTTATCTCATGTACTCTGTTCTAGGATGTTGCCATTGGCCTCAGGCGTCAGATCAAGGCAAGACAGGACCAACAGCTTAAGCTCCCGCATTCTTATACAATTCAAGTCAAATTGTGAGCAGAAAACTTTGTTGCAAGATCAGGTTCCCAGTGGGCCATGGCTGCAACAGAAGAGTATGTTCTTCCTAGCTCAAACCTGGTTGGCTCACAAGTGCAGATATGGTGTTAGCAGCAGAAGCAACGTTGCCATAACCACATGAACAAAAATCAGAGAGTAGAAATTCCCCAGAAATAAGTGAAAGTATTGGTTCCAAAAAGGTCCATGTATACCAGGCCACAGAGGCACAGCTGCCTACTGCAGTGGAGGCCTGAGTGGGTAAATGCGCATTCCCCTCCGCTGGTGGAAAAGTCAGCAAGCAAGTAACCTACCTGGAAGGTAATTTCATGATGCATCAGAAAACATGGGAAAAAATCACACCTTTGTGTCTATTATTTTATTTCAAAAAATGTATTCTTCAGAACTAATTGAAGTATGAGTAAGAATGTGTATGCACACACACAAATATCATAAAAAAGTAAGGCTATTAAGCTCCAAAAATATGAGTATGCATTTACATTAAAAGGTGGCTATAGAGGCTGACAGATGGCGTGGTAGTTAAGGGTGCTGGACTCCCATATGGCCAACCATGGTTCGAGTCCTGGACCTGACAGCTTGCTTCCCCCCCCCCCCCGCTCTGTCTCACTCTCTCTCTGTTCAAATTAAAATAAATAAAGTTAAATAAAAATAACTCTAAAAAAAGATGACTATAAATGAAAAATGTCAGTTAAAAGAGTTTCTATAATTAAGAACATCTTTATAAAAAGTATAAATAGATATATATATAAAAAACATCAAAAACAAAAAATGCTATGAAGATGAAAAAGAATAGTAACAAAAGCTATTTCTGCATCTTGCGACTACATGCAATATGTAGCCTCTCATTTTCTGCTTATTGACTTCTCTTTTCTAGCATGACCATGAATTTTTTTCATTGTTTGATTAAAAAGAGAAAAAAATTGAAGCGGCCACAGTCGACAGTATCTCTCTGGCTCATACCCCTCAACAGTTGTAAGTGTGTGTGCGGCAAAGACTACAGTGCAGAAGCGCAATTAGGGTTGAGGGCAGGAGAGTTGTGATTTAGGGAAAAGTTCGGAAGGCATTTTCCTGAAGAAATTAAACCAGTTTACAAATATAAACCTGACCCAGGTTTATCTATCCTAGCTCTAGTATCAGGGGTAAGTAAGCAATCACTGTGGTATGGTTTTCTGAAAGTCATCAGACACTCAGGACCCACCCCTAGAAGTGGCCCAGAGAAAACTCCAACGTGAGTATTTGGACACAGATATATACAATGCCTAACACTCTTTTGAATATTCAGGTACAGTTTTATGTTTGTTTTAATGTGATACCATAGAGTACTGCTTGTTTGTTTTGAGATCTTCTTTGCAGAGAGTCTTCAAACAGAAGTTTCTGTTAACACATGCCTTAAGACTTTCTCACTTCTGGGCTCCTCCCCTTCCTGCCTCGTGTGTCTCCAGCAATATATCTGGAAAGTGGTGCTTGCCTCTAAATATGAAAAGAATACGTGTCCTGAATTACCAGGGGCTGCCTCCTTTTCTAGCTTTCTTCAGGGGTTATGTATCTTGTTTAACTTCTCCTCTCATACACACTCTTAACTTTATGTCTTGTGGATAATTAACTTACCACAGGAAACTGTAGCAAACAAGCAAATGAAATGAGCTGCTTGCTTGAATAAAATCATTCTGGAAAAGAAGACAACATACACATAACTCTGCTGGTTGTAGATCATATTTAAATTATATATAACATGAACCTTAATTGACGGTGCTATCGTCTGAATTGCAAATCAAAGCACACAATTATCAGTATCGAGAACAAGAAGTTATCTGTGCCCAGGGGTTTGGAAAACTTATAATCCTTTCCAAGATACAAATTGAGGACTTTTGACTATTATTGTGCTTATTGTTGATTTACCACCAATGTCGTTAATAATTTTGGGAAAGGAATTAGTAGAGAGGAATTAAACAGTTGTGAAACCTCTGATTTGAACAAAAAGAAAACTACTGTAAATAATGTCAATGCTATCAATCCAGAATCCTTAAGTAAAGAAAAGCTCTGAAAATACTAAATTCCATTTAAAATTTTTAAACCAATCAAATAGTCTCTCTGATTTAAACATATCTTACATTTGAATATTTCCACATATAAAAATGTTAATTCCTTCAAGACTTTTTAAATACCCAGAAAATCAGAACATAAATGAACAGCTCCTTTGTAAGGCAAAATGTATCATTTTTAAAAGCACTTTATTTGGAAGCAGTGAGAAATAATAGAAATTTGCTACCTGAAAGCACAGTTGCTTCTGTGATTCTGGAGGTGAGGGAGTCTCTGGTCACTGGAAAATGAACTGTCTTCAAGCTGGGTTGCTGTGGTACCGCAGGCAATATTTGCTCATTTCCAATATTGACTTTGGATTTCTGCCAGCAGTTTCCACTTTTCGTCCTGTCAACATATTTCATGACCATCCTATTCCTGTGTTCAGCTATTTAATATATTAACTATTTCAGGGAGTGAAGTAAACAAGATGGCAGAATTGAAGTTTCCAATGCTCGTCTCCCTGCAGAAGCATCAATATGAACAACTGTCCATGTACACAAATTCCTTCACAAGAACTAGGAAATCCAGGTAAAGGACCAGACAGTGGTGCAGAAGTAACACAAGTGGACCAGCATGGAGGATCCTGAGTTTTCATCCTGTACAAGCCAGGAGTGCCTGCACAGCCATGATCCAGGCTTGCTGAAGCTGTGGGTAGATTATAGCCCCTAAGGGCCCTGTACGGAGTGCCTGACCCTGTCTGTCTATCTCTGAGTGATTGTCTGTCTCATGAAAAATAAGTAAATATACTTTTAAAAAGGAAATCTAAGTGAGAAATTACAACACCTGAGTAAAATACAAAACCAAGTGAAGACACATTGAAGAATATAGGGAGGACAGTTTCATAATACCATGTCACCCTGCCCCCATGCCTAGGCAGCACAGCATGGAGAGAGAAAAACTTCCTATGGAGTGAGGTGGACACCCAATTTTGCAATAGATCTTAGCACTAAGCCTGCCTCAATAAAAACTAGCACTAAGCCAATTCCCTTAGCCCTATGCTCTAGGCAAACACCTGAAGACCCACCTTCAAGTTCCACCATAGTACCAGACAAGGCTCTGCAACCAGGCTCAGGACTGACCCAGAAGCAGGTCAGCCCCCCAAAATCCAAGATCAAGGCTTGCCCCTGAAGACCCAGGTAATCTAGCCCCTATGAAATCAGGCATCATGCTTACCACAAGCTGACACAGCACTAGGCCAGCCTGCCTGAGTATTCTAGCAGAAAACGTGCTCATGGACCTAACCAGATGGACCAGCTAGAATGTCAGGACAGTGAAGGACTTTCCATCAAAGCTAATCTGTAAAGATCGAAATAGGTGTTTATTTCTTTAAATATACAGACACCAGTGCAAGGCCACATGGATCACAATAATGAATAAAATACTTTCAAAATACTTGTCTTAAAGAAGCTCAATGGGCAATAAGAGAATACAGAGAGATCACTAGCTAAATCAGAAAAGCAATACATAAATAAAATTAAAAGTTCAACCAACAGATAATAATCATTAAAAAGAAACAAATTCTGAGACTGAAGAACATAATGACTGAACAAAAAAAATTGCATTTAATGCTTCAACAGTAGATTTGATCATGGACAAAAAAAGTCAGGGAACTCAGAGACAGATTACTTGTAGATTAATAAAAATAACAACAAATTAAAAAAGAATAAAGAAAGTCTACATGATGTACAGAACACCAATAGAAAATCAACACATAGATTACAAGAGTCCTAAAAGCAACAGAGAAAGTGAAAGAGAAAGTGTTCAAAGCTTATTTAAAGCAATAACAACAGAAAACTTTCTAAATCTGGGAAGGATAATGAACATCCAGATCCAGGAATCCCAAACACAAAGTAAATGAGCTATAAAGAGAACTTCACTAGAGTCAGCAGATGGCATAGTGGTTAAGGCGTGGATCCCACAGGGCTAATAAGGGATTTTTTTTTTTTTTTTTGGAGAGGTTTTTTTGATATAGGGCACATGCGCTCGCCAGAAAGACAGAGAGAGACAGTGAGATAGAAAGCGAGAAATCATTCCCCAGGGGGGATGGCCATGCCACAATCCCTTCTCCTCCATTCTCCTCTCTGGATCTTGGGCATGCATGCACACGCACCTGGCGTGAGTTTAAGCCACCGGGTCCGAGACTCGAACCTCAGTCGGCTACATGGGAGTTCAGCGACATAGAAATTACACTAACTGCTGGTCCCAGCTGACCAGTTTAAAGCCCAGATCCAGCAGATTGAAAATCATGCCAGGTACATGTGCAGGCATCTTCAAAATCTCAAGAGGAGAATGGGGAAAAGGGATTGTAGCATGGTTATCCTCTAGGAGATAATTTCTTACTTCCCTCTCTCTCTTTCTGTCCCTCTCTGGCAAGTGCACATACCCTATAGCAAAAACTAGAAAGAAAATAAGAGAGAACTTCACCAAGACACATGACCAAATTCTCAAAAATCAAAGAGAAAGACAAGTTCTAAAGACCAAGAGAAAAACAACTAATCACATAAAGGGAACCCCCGTAAGACTATCTGTGGGTTTCTCAACAGAAATTCTACAGGCCCAGAGAGAGTAGGATGGTATCTGTATAAAAAATAAAAAATTAAAAAAAAAAAAAAGCCCACCTTTTGTTCAGGAAGAAAAAGGAGATGCAGACTTTCCCAGGCAAACAGTAGCCATCACCACTGGCCTACCTTACAAAAAAATGCTAAAGCCAGTTGAAACAAAAGGACTCCAATTAATTATATGAAAAATATGAAAGAATAAAACTAACTGTACAGGTAAGAATAGTCAAAGGTCAAGCAGATGGAGTAGTGGTTGGGATGCTAGACTCCCATATGGCCAACCACGGTTTGAGCCCTGGACCTGGTGAGTTGAAAATCACACTGGGCATGAGTGTGTATGCATGCCCAAAATTCTGAGAAGAGAGTGGAGGAGAAGCTATTGTGGCATGGCCATCCCCCATGGGGGGTGAAAACTCACTTTCCTCCTGTCTCTCTCGGGCATGTGCATGTGCCCTATGTCAGTGTTTAAAAAAGAGAGAGAGAGAGAAGGAGAGAAAGAGAGAGAATATTGTAAAATTCAGAATACTCTATTATTTTACTATGGAGCAAAAACTACTTTAAGTCTAGCCTAAAGCATAAAGACAGGAGTATTAAAATTAACTAGCTACAATAAGTTGTTACTGGATATGTGATATTGAAAAGATGTAATTTGTAACATGACTAACAAAACATGGGGAAGAGGGGAAAAGTTACAGAGTTTTAAATATGTGGTTTAAGTTATCAACTTAAAATAGATAGCTATAACTATACTGTTTTTACTCTAGCTCCATGAAAACTACAAAGAAAAGCCTTGGAATAGACACACACACAAAAAAAATAAATAAAAGAAACAAGAAATCAAAATCTAAAATAACAAAAAACAATTAAAGAATAAAGGAAAGCAGCAAAGAAGAAACATTACAAAACAGCCAGAAAACAATAAGACATTAGTAGTCAATCCTTTTATATCAATAGTTACTTTAAATATAAATGAATTAAATTCTCCAACCAATAGACATAGAATGTTAAAAAAAAAACAACTATATGCTGCCTACAAAAGATTAATTTTAGCTTTAAAAACACACAAAGGGTGAAAATGAGGAAAAGGAAAAAAATTACATTCAAAAGACAACCAAAAGAGAGCAGAGGTGACTATCCTTATACCAGAAAGTTAAAGTTCGAGTCAAAAACTGTCACTAAAGACAAAGAAGTTTATTATATAATGATAAAATTATTAATTCATCAAGAAGGTATAAAGATTATAAGGGTACTTAGAATGTTTTTAGGAAAGATCAAATGTTAGGCCACAAAACATGTCTTAACTCATTCAAGAAGATTAAAATGATATCAGATATTATTTCTAACCACAATAGTATGAAACTAAATATTAATAACAGGAAGAAAATTGAAAAATTTATAAAAATGTGGAAGTTGAACAAGACAATGGGTCTTTGATCCTTTGATTCATTAGTCCTGAACAATCAATGAGTCAAAGAAGATATTAAAAAAATTAATATCTTAAGATAAATGGAAAAGGAAACACAACATACCAAAATTTATGGGATGCAGCAAAAGCAAGTCTAAGAGGGAAGATTATAGCAATAATTGCCTATATTAGGAAAATAGAAATACATAAAATAAACAGCCTAACTATACCCAAAGGAAATAAAAGGAGAAGAACTAAGCCTCAAGTTAGCAGATGGAAGAATATAATAAAGATCAGAGAAGATAAAAATGAAATACAGACTAGAAAATAATAGAAAAGAACAATGATACTAAGGGTGTTTGTTTTTAAGAGATAAAATTGAGAAACCTTTTGCTAGACTATGGGAAAAATGAGAAAAATACTTAAGTGAAAGTAGAAGTAAAGGAGATGACATTATAATCATTATCACAGAAATACAAAGGATCATAAGATACTAATGCTATTATTGGATAACCTGAAAGAAATTAATTAATTCCTAGAAACACATAGGCTACCAAAACTGTAATGAAGAAATAGAAAATCTAAACAATCAATTAGCTTGGATCAATAATCAAAAAACTCCCCCCAAATAGAAAAGCTCAGAACTTATGTCTTTATTCATGAATTCTGCCAAACATTTAAAGGATTAACAGCAATCCTTCTCAAAGTCTCCCCAAAAACTGAAGCAGAGGAAGGCTTCTAACCTTATTCATGAGGCCAACATTACCTTGGACAAAACAGCAAGACCCAACACTATAGGAAAAGAAAACAAGCCAATATCCCTGTTGAACATAAATGCAAAAATCCTGAATGTGAAATACTATCAAACCAAATTCAACATCACACTGAAAGGATCATACAGTATAATCAAGTAGAATTTATCACCAGAATGCAAAAATGTTTCAACAAGAGCAAATCAGTAAATGTGATGTATCATAGTAACAGAATGAAGGATAAAAATCATCTGATCATATAATAGAAGGACTTACACATGAAATCTAAAAAACTGGAGGTCATAGAAGCAGAGACTAAAATAGTAGTTGCCATAGTCTAGGGACTGGGGAAAATGGGATGAAATTGCTCCTTATACAATATTTCAATTATGCAGGGTGAATAAATTATGGGATATAATGTACAGCATGGTGACTCTAGTTAATTATACTGTATTGTGTACATGAAATTTATTAGAGTAGATTTTATGTGTTCTCACCACACACACACAAAATGAGAAATATACGAGATGATAAATATGGTAATGTAATTAGC